CGGGGCCCGTAGCTACTACACATGTAGTAGCTACTACATATGTAGTAGCTACTACACATGTATGTAGTAGCTACTTGTGCTACTAGTATAATCCGGCGCTGCCGTATAAACGAAGGCGTTATCGCCAATTAATGAGCATCTGCATGTGTGGGGGCAACCCGGAGCAGCCGGAGACAACGCACACACGTGCGAGGAGGCAACAGTCGATCCCATGCGGCTGGAACAGGCGGAGTCTGCCTTTTACTGTGCCGACGGCAGCTCCTGGCATGCCGGGGTTAGGCCTCCTCGAAGCCCATGGGAAGGGAGTTTTCTAACGTGCGTGTGTGCGTGCGTGTGTGTGTGCGCGTGTGTGTGCATGTGATTCACCAACCCTCGCATCACGACGCCGTGCTGGGTTACAGGCCACGTGCATAGCGACCAGCGCCCGGCTAAAATAAACGGGTAATGAGCCGAAGAAACAAACCCCCAACAAATCTTCCTCTAAAACGGCGTGTGGACACTTGCTAAAGAAGCGGCGTTTTATTTGAATGCACTGTACTGTTAAAACAAATATAAAACACCCTCCCCACTGTATATATCTATAAGTGGGCCCACGCCTATAGGGGCACAACACCTGCCAAACGTGACCGTAAATTCCCGTGACCCAACCCCCCTTTGCTTGGCATGGGAACACCGATGCTAGACGTGCCCGCATGTGATCTATCACCCACCGCGTCTGCAGACGCAACGGCGCTGCCAGGTCGGTACGCTCTACGCCCCTTGGCGGGCTCACGTGAGAGAGGGGAGGGAGCTCAGGAATTGAGGGGTCGTGGGGGTGGGTGAGGACCGCGCCCGCCGAAGTTATTGACCAACGTGTTCAGTTGTTTTGTCGTTGTAATTCGCGGGTTGCCGGCTATACACCCGCGCGCCGGCGATTGGTTTGAGTGCGCTCAGAGGCGAAAGTGAGCCTCCTCCGGTTCAGCCACGCAGCTGTCCTGTGCACGACTTTTTCTATCACCATTGGAACCTCATTTGCCAGTAAACAATGATAATTGTTTTTTTAACCTTTAATCTGGCAACAAAACTGACACCTTTTTTTTACAAGGAGTCATGTTTGCATAGACCACAATACCTGCAGTCGGAATGCAAACAAAAATAAACTCTGATAATGTATGCACTGTCCTTGAAGTTGATTGGTCCACACCCGAGACAGCTTTCCTTAGAGCCTAGTCTCACATGGTGTTGGGCCAAATGCATTGTCTTTGAGTTGTGCGCCTTTTGGCGTCATCTGGTCCAACACCATGTGAGACTAGGCTCTAAGGAAAGCTGTCTCGGGTGTGGACCAATCAACTTCAAGGACAGTGCATACATTATCAGAGTTATGTTTTTTGTTTGCATTTTGACTGCAGGTATTGTGGTCTATGCAAACATGACTCCTTGTAAAAAAGGTGTCAGTTTTGTTGCCAGATAAAAGGGTAAAAAAACAATTATCAGACTTTTTCTCTTTCACTTTAATTCACCAGGTGAGGAGTCGAGGGACCATGAGGCTAATTTGCAAGAGTGACCTGGGGCATTAATCTGTCAGTAGTTGGGGGGGGGGTGACGACGATTGCTGCTGTGCATAATCCCAATGGAGCAATTTCGCGCAATCTTTGGCATGTTCCGACCTCTGATGCCAGCACACAATGGCTCCTCTTGCGAATGGCGGTCACGGGGTCATGGAACCCCACTGGGAGGCAGACGACGCGTATTGTCAAGGTGGTGATACTCGCGGGAATAATCCAGGGCGGACGCTTGGATGCGGAGAACGGGCCACCCGCTGGGCCACGGGTCGCCAAGCAAAGTAACAAGGAGAGAAGACGCTTTTGTTCGAATTCGGTCAAACACAAATTTATAAACTAAATATTTCACGAGCCGCAATGTACGGTGTGGTGAATACGGGACGGTTCGTGACAAGTAACGTCGCGAAACACTCCTTGATGAGCCGCATGCAGCAACGCAGCCGCGGGTTTCTGAGCCCTGCCCATGGTAAATTGGACTTCCATGTTGACTTAAAGCTTTCGTGACGGCAGGAATTCATACTCTTTGGGTCTTTCGGTAAATTACTCTCTGGTTCTTTCGGTGCCTATGTGTGTGTCTCTCTCTGTGTCTCTGTGTTATCTCTCTCTGCTTATGTGTCTGTCTGTGTCTCCGTGTCTGTGTTTTGTCTCTCCCTCTCAAATTTAGCACTCTTTGGAAGAACGTAATCAACAGAGGCGACTCTCTGTGTTGTATTGCATTATATTTCTAAGTTTACTAGGTTTGTTTTTTCATTCATTCGTACCTGATAATTGTGTTGCAATCAAAATGTCGTATGCTATTATTACATTTATTTTTTCTTTATACGTGGCTTTACCGAAAAACCCTAAGAGTATGGACTTCCATGGTCAACTGCACTTCCATGGTAAATTGGACTCCCATGGGGTAAACTGGACTCCCATTGGACTTCCATGGAAAAATAAACTCCCATGGTGAACTGGACTTCAATGGTAAATTGGACTCCCATGTTAAACTGGACTCCCATGGTAAATTATACTTCCATAGTAAACTGGACCCCCATGGTAAACTGGACTCCTATGGTAAACTGTATTTCCATGGTCAATTGGACTCCCATGGGGTGAATTGGACGCCCATGGGGTAAACTGTACTCTCATAGTAAATTGGACTTCCATGGTAAAATGAACTTCCATGGTAAAATGAACTTCCATGGTGAACTGGACTCCCATGGTAAACTGGACTTCCATGGTAAATTGGACTCTCATAGTAAATTGGACTTCCATGGTAAAATGAACTTCCATGGTAAAATGAACTTCCATGGTGAACTGGACTCCCATGGTAAACTGCACTTCCATGGTAAATTGGACTCTCATGGTAAAATGAACTTCCATGGTAAATTGAACTTCTATGGTAAAATGAACTTCCATGGTGAACTGGACTCCCATGGTAAACTGGACTTCCATGGTAAATTGGACTCCCATGGTAAAATGAACTTCCATGGTAAATTGAACTTCTATGGTAAAATGAACTTCCATGGTGAACTGGACTCCCATGGTAAAATGAACTTCTATGGTAAAATGAACTTCCATGGTAAATGTAACTTCCATGGTAAACTGGACTTCCATGGTAAATTGGACTCCCATGGTAAACTGGACTTCCATGGTAAATTGGACTCCCATGGTAAAATGAACTTCTATGGTAAAATGAACTTCCATGGTAAATTGGACTCCCATGGTAAAATTAACTTCCATGGTAAATTGGACTTCCATGGTAAATTGGACTCGCATGGTAAACTGGACTTCTCTAAGACGATGGTACTTTGCAAGCCGACTGGCTATCAGCAAAGATTCGCTCACGAAGCCATCCATATATACAGACACAAACACAATTTCAACCGAGACGACGGTTTAAAACTCAGCAATCATTTGAAAGATGTCATCAACCACTTTGGGTCATGACTTGAACTTGTGTTTCCTTGTCAACCTCTCCCGTCAGCAGTGTGGATGAGTGCAGCGAGGTGCAATCCCCCCCTCCCATCTCCACCCCCTCTCGCTCCCCCTGTCTCTGGCGCAGCACTTTACCCCGTCAACTCACTACGGAGCCCTTATAAGCAGCTACATTTGGATGCCCTTGCCCCCTCTTTTCTCTCGACCTGATGAAGACCGCTTGTGTTGCGATCGAAACGTCGTGGGTTTTTTTTGCTTTTAATTCAGATTTTTGTTTTCTATCTACGTGACTTTACCGAAAGAACCAAGAATATGGACTTCCATGGTCAAGGGCTCGGCAACCAAAATAACAAGGAGCCGCCATTTGTTTCGAATTCGGTAAAAAAAACACTCAACATTTTATCCTTAAAGAACCGCATGTGGCTGTGGAGCTGCAGGTTGCCGACCCTTGCCCGAGGCCGTGTGTCACCGCCCCACAAATGCGAATGATTACGCAACGAGGCACGGCTGGACCACCAACGCTTACAAAACATCCTTCCCCCCTCCAAGTCGAGGCCAGACAGAGATCGCCACCTGCTGGATTGGCAACACCGCGGCTCGCGCGACTTGGGCGAGTGGGCATCAGCGGGCACTGGCCAGCAATGCAGCTCAACGTCATGGCCATTGCTGAAAGCACTGGGCCATCAATCACGAAAGCACAAACCATCACGCGAACTCTGGTCATTCTCGCAGCAGGCGACTTTCGGCTAGCCACCAAGCAAAGGCAGACACTGCACCGCGCGCTTTCAGATGCGCTTCTGCGGCCGTCTGGAACGCTCTTCCTTCCGATTAGGAACCCACACACTTTTAAATCTAGATTAAAAACTCATTCCTTTAAAACTGCTTTTTGTGTTGTTTTTTGACCTTCCCCCGCACCTCTGATAGACATGGTTGGCTACGTACCGTGCGAAAGAAGTTAAACATACATAGACTTTTTCCCTAATTGTAATGTTCCAAAGCAAGGAAGAGTTCCGTAGGCTAATGGTACTTTTGAAAGAGTCTGACACGAATATTTGAAATGCATTGTAAACATCCCACGGCCGTATATTTCAAAGCGGACTGTTCTTGCGCATGTGCTTGAAGGTACGACTCTATTCTTGCGCACGGCAATATGTTCAGGATCTGAATGCCAATGTCGAGGTCTGCGAGCCACGAGAGGGCTTGCGGACAGAGCTGGTGTTGTTGTTTGTAGTTCCTTCTCTGTTCATGGAGCGCAGGCTACAGTGCTTCACCATATGGTCCATTATTCTATGGTTCTTTCGGCAGTCACGTTGGTAGAAACATAATAGATCACGACGTTTCGATAGCAACACAAGCCATCGTCCTCAGCAGACGGACTGCTGAGGCAGCAGGAAATGAAGCGAGAGAGCTACTGCCACCTTGCCTCAGCAGTCCGCCTGCTGTATTGTTTCACCCGAGGACGATGGCTTGTGTTGCTATCGAAACGTCGTGATCTATTATTCTTCTACTGAAGTGACTTTACCGAAATAACCAAAGAATGTGGATTCCTGCAGTCACGAAAGCTTCAAATAAAGATACGGTAAATATTTAAAGACCAAATGACACTCTCACCCTCCTCCCAGTTTCAAAACAAACCATATTCACACAATCCACAACAACCCACCGTTTCAGAAAATACATGTACTATAATTCCCATGCCAACAAAACACTCACATTTGCAAGCCTGCATTGGCTACAACACACCATGGGATTAACCAGCGTGTAGGAAATCAATTATAAAAGATCACTTTATGCAGGCATATAAACCATTTTCCAGAGTATCACGTAAAGACAGCTTACTCAGTTAGCTCACAAGTGTATTGTTCAACGAACACCACTGCACGCCGTTACAACACACAGCCGCTGATGCTGTGCACTTTTCTTGGTGTAAACATGTATACGTAGGTTTTCCAACTGATTATACAACTTTTATACGACTTTTATTCAAACTCACCATCTCAAATTTAAATAAAAAGTAGCTTCAACCACGGTAATCAAAAACATACGAAATGTGGTTATTCGACACAGGCAAAGGCATAAACACGACTAGGGTCAGACAACGCATTCCTGGTGCAAACGGCTCGCACCGAGGTGATTGTCTTTGGTATCGTGAGAAGTCCGTGCCCTGTGGCTCACTTTCTTCTTTTGGATTTAGGCAGTGGCGATTCTGAAAGCGAAATATCCTCAACGGAGTTCCTCTTACGCTTTTTTTCCTTCTTTGGGGCTTCTGGGTCAGAGGTCAAAGTTCCATTGGCCTCGTGTCCCGCGTCATTGCTCAGGTAGCGGGATCCGTCGCTCAGCGGCACCGTGCTCCCCTCCTCATCCCTGTCACGCCGCCTCTTCTTCTTTTTCTTCTTCTGGTCTGGGCTAACAGAAGCTTCGGTTTGGCTCGTGCAAGCTTCACTGCCAATCTCCGTGCAGAGTTCACTTTCAGGCTCCTCTTTCACAGGAAGCTTGGTGACGCCGTCACAGATTGGTTCTTCTCCATCACTTTCCCCTTTCCGTTTGGATTTCTTCTTTTTTCTTTCTTTATGACGATGCTCCACCACTTCCTCGACCACCATCGTCTCCTCGACCTTGATCGTCACCCCGACCTCTCGGTCACGTTTTTTTTTCTCTTTCTTCTTCTTCTCGTTCGGCGCAGAGTCTGTGTACTCGACCGGGACTTTCTGAACCTCCTCATGCTCCTGTTTTGCGGCCCCATTCGCTTGCTCAGCATAACTCTCATCGGGAACTCTGCAGAGACAATAACAGGCCAATTACACATGCACCCAACACACACACTTTTTCATTGGCGACATTCGAGCCGAGTCAACGCAGGACCCTCCCAGTATGGGTGGTTTTTCACTCGCTATTTAAAGATATGCCACGCTGGCCTCGCAAGGAATCCAAATACAGAACGGATGAAGGACCAAGAGTAGCCATAGGGCTGGGCTAAGGACGGGTCCAATGCGTACAACGTCAGTCGGCGGACAACTCAAGCATGGCGTCGCCGCATCATCATCATCATCTACGTGGGTCTCGACTCATTCATCGCACGTGGCGTCAGCGTGGCACGGGTTGGGTCTCGCAGTGGAAAAACAACCCGGCGCCTCCCGAGCCGGGCCGGGCCTGCTCAGCACGGCCCCCAACGCGGCTTGGTTGTGCAGGAGAAGAGACGGTGGTATAAGGCGCGGGCGTCGCCAGAGGGAACTACGCGAGGGTCAAACGCGAGGCTGTCCGGCGGCGCTGACCCGAGGCCGATGAGGGAGCCGCGCACGAGCAGGACACCAGCCCAGTCGGAGTCGACGTGCGTCACGGTGAAGCGCACGGTGTCGCCGGGGAACAGCCCCGCCCCCCGCCACGGAACGCCGGGCTCGTCGCGCGGGCAGGCCAGGGACGCGTTAAAGCAACCGTGCACCAGGCAGCCCACGTGTGCGCTGCCCAACTTGTTCACCACGCCCTGGGCAGGCACGCAGGGGTGTGTGGGGAGCACGGACGAGAGATTAGGTGTACAAGACACACGGGACATCGGTGTACAGGGATCACACAGGAGTGTACAGGATACACCATGGTGTACTAACACACACATTCGATATATAGCACACACCCACACATACAGGTGTACAGGAATTGTAAACACGGGGGGGGGGGTGTCTAACCTTGGGATACTGAGGCGTGTATGTTGAACTTCTTTCGCACCATGCGGAGACCACTGTGCTAATCGGAGGCTTGCTACCCGCATGACCCTGTCCCAGTTAAAGAGAACCACGTGGGGTGGAGGAGGCCGAGGCCACAGGCCTTGTGGCCGCATCAGATCGGCCGTGGCTGTCGGACCTCTTGGGGCCGGGAACAGAATTCGCTTGTGGACTTTTCCAGAAGGGACCCAAGAGGTTGATGCTGGAGATTGTGGATGCTGCCATCTCGGTATCAGCTACTGGGTAAAGTACAATTACAGCAACACTGTTGACTGTAATTACAATATGATTTATTACAATTCATTCTGAACGACAATTGCAATTCTAATTGACCCAGGTGGTCTGCTTGGGATACGCTCCCGCACTTGATTTGACCCGGCGTACGCGGATCCCTCGCACACACACACAGATCGTTATGGGGCGCACCTTGAGAATGTCCCCTGGATTGGGACGGAAGACCACAAAGTCCGCTTGGACGTCCATGTGGATGTATCCCTGATCATCGATGAGGTCGCCGAGACCGCTGAGGAGCTTCATGTTGTCGTAGGCGAGAGGAACCCCCTTGAGGCTGGAGGAGCGGAGGTGAGAGTCACAACTCAATATTGGGAATGGGCACGGCACTTTTTACGTGCAAATGCTCACAATAAGAATCTCTGTTTAGACTTGAGAAGGAGGAATCCGATGAGCTACTAAGCTCTTTTTCACAAATTTCCAGTATGGAGCGGCCGTGCAGTGGTTGGCGCTGAGTTCGATACCCGGCCACAGATGTCAGTGACATCTGAACTGGTCCTGTGTGCCAGCCACTCACAAACCAGCATTGGCCAGCGTGGCGAAGCATGGTCACCACTCACTCCTCACTCACCCCTCACTCACCACTCACCCTCACTCACCACTCACCCCTCACTCACCACTCACTCACCCACCACTCTCACTCACCACTCACCCTCACTCACCCCTCACTCACCACCAGGGGCGGTTTCTTCATTAGGGCGATTGGGCGACGCACCACCAATGTCATTCAACCACAGAGTCACGCGAGCCGTCACTGTGCCTCTGGATATAGTCCAATCAGCATCATGTCACGTTTTGTGGAGTACCGCCTCTTTTTGGGCGATTTCACTCCGGCTGAGAATCGCCCCGAGTGGCCCCATAGACTTACATTCAAAGATGTTTTTTTTTTCGAACGGGGGGCGCTGCAATGCATTCTCTATGGCTTCCGGGAGGGCTCGCACTAACGTGCTTACGTCATCATACGTGCTTACGTCATCATACGTAAGCACGTTTCATCCAACAATATAATTTGTCGCCACCTAGTGGAATCTTTAATAAAAGAAACTTGAGTGGATTGTATTAATAGTGAGTATAGAAACAAACAAGATGTATTGTAAGAGTCACTTTCTTTTTCATTAATATTAAATAAGTGAAGTTGCCTTTACATGCTTAAGCTGTTAATTTATCCATTGCATGGGTGGACCTTATCCTTATCAATCATCCAGACATTTGCCCCCCCTGAGAGATTTTGCAGGAGCCGCCACTGCTCACCACTCACTCACCACTCACTCACCCATCACCCTCACTCATTTTGCCCCATCCCTTATTCTCTCCTCACCACTCATTCCCCCTCGCCCTTCATCACCCCCCCTGCTCACCCCTCACTACTCCCCCACCACTCACTCCCTCCTGACCCCGCAGCACTCTTCACCCACTCTTACTTCACCCCTCACTAACCACTCACTCACTACTCACCCCTCACTCACCCCTCACTCACCACTCACCCTCACTCACCACTCACCTCTCACTCACCACTCACCCCTCACTCACCATTCACTCACTACTCACCCCTCACTCACCCCTCACCCACCACTCACCCCTCACTCACCCCTCACTCACCATTCACTCACCCTCACCCTCACTCACCCACCCCTCACAACTCACCCCTCACAACTCACCCCTCACTCCTCACCCACCCCTCACCCTCACTCACCACTCACCCCTCACTCACCCCTCACAATTCACTCACCACTCACCCACCACTCACTTCTCACTCACCATTCACTCACCCACCACCCTCACTCACCCCTCACTCACCCCTCACAACTCACCCCTCACCACTCACTCCTCACTCACCCCTCACCCCTCACACTCACTCACCACTCACTCCTCACCCACCCCTCACACTCACTCCTCACTCACCACTCACCCCTCACCCACCCCTCACACTCACCCCTCACTCACCCCTCACTCACCACTCACCCCTCACTCACCATTCACTCACCCACCACCCTCACTCACCCTCACTCACCACTCACCAGTCACTCACCCATCACAACTCACCCCTCACCACTCACTCCTCACCCACCCCTCACCCTCACTCACCACTCACTCACCCCTCACCCCTCACCCACCCCTCACACTCACCCCCCCCTCACCCCCCGCTCACCTTTCCGAGTAGCGCAGCAGCTCGGCGTCCAGCTGCTCCCCGATGCCGCTGCGCAGTCGGCCCAAGTGGCGGGGGAAGAGCGCGAGGTGCCGCACGCAGCTCTCGCTCACCAGGCTCGACTCGGGGCCCCGGGCGAGCCCCGCGGCGCCCGCGAACCCCGGGGCCCCCGAGAGACGCGACCCTCCCGCGAAAGCCGCGACCCCCGAAGACCGTCGGGGTCCCGAGAAGCGCGGCGACCCGCACGCCGTGGGCCGCGTGGCCGCCATGTGCTGAGGGATCGATTCGAGTGAGCGACCACACGCGTGTCGATTCGATTCCACGCGATTTTGATGTAGCGGTGGTGCACACACAACACGTCAACAACAACAACGACGACGACGCTGTGGCAATGGCCTTTATTCGTGAGCAGAGCTGTTGAGTTTAGATGCGGCCATGATGTTGGTTCACTGCACGACAATGTGGGTGCAGGAATCGATAACACTCGATTCCCTTCCTACCGTTAGAATCGATTCATGAGGGCCACCCTAGGCCCACGCACGCGATTAGAGGCGAAATCGATTCTCGATTCTGACAAGTATCGATTACGCCGCTCTGGAATCGAATGTATCAAAGGTGAAGGCGCAGCCAGGCAATGTCGCTCTCATGCCGCTCGAGGGAGCTCCAGGGCACACGTCTCTCTCGCTCTCTCTCGAGGGTACTTGGGCTACTCTTCCAATCTGTCCGGGCGTCTTCGAAGAGGCGCGAGTACGACTGGAAGTCTGTGAAAAAGGAGCTTCAGGGTCTACATCGGTGGCTCTTAAACGTTCACTTGCAGCCTGGCGCCGCTTCGGTTCTCAGAAAAGGCATCTCGCACCCCCGGGCTCAGAATCACTGCGAGAAATAAACATTCTAAATAAAGATTCTCTTTTCTTAGAAAGAACATGACGTCATCACCCCTCTCATCTCCCAGCGTCTCGTGACGTCATTACCACTCACCTCCCCAGCGTCTCGTGACGTCATCACCCCTCATCTCCCCAGCGTCTCATGACGTCATCACCCTTCTCACCTCCCCAGCGTCTCGTGACGTCATTACCCCTCACCTCACCAGCGTCTCGTGACGTCATTACCCCTCACCTCCCCAGCGTCTCGTGACGTCATTACCCCTCATCTCCCCAGCGTCTCGTGACGTCATCACCTCATCTCCCCAGCGTCTCATGACGTCATCACCCCTCATCGACCCAGCGTCTCGTGACGTCATCACCTCATCTCCCCAGCGTCTCATGACGTCATCACCCCTCATCTCCCCAGCGTCTCGTGACGTCTTCACCCCTCATCTACCCAGCGTCTCGTGACGTCATCACCTAATCTCCCCAGCGTCTCATGACGTCATTACCCCTCTCATCACCCCAGCGTCTCGTGACGTCATTACCCCTAACCTCACCAGCGTCTCGTGACGTCATCACCCTTCTCACCTCCCAGCGTCTCGTGACGTCATAACCCTCCCCAATGTCTCGTGACGTCATAACCCTCTCATGACGCCATCACCGCTATTCGCTCCCACCGCGTCTCGTGACGTCGTTACTCCCCCCCTCACAACCTCGCCCCAATCTCGCGTGACGTCATTTCTCCTCTCCTGAACACCCCAGCGTCTCTGACGTCGTAACACCATTCTCCACTTCACCTCAAAATAGCGTGACGTCATCCCGGCGCGTGACAGACAGACATGCACGCGTGGTGTTGTATAGAGATGTATCACCAGGTAAGATCTCGCTAAGAGTAAAGCCTCTTTGCAAAGGGAGACCTGGGTATAACCAATACGAGCGCAACAGAACGATGTAATTTTAACAAGTCGCCTTTCGCGACCAATATCCACAACACATGTTTTTTTTGGGTTAGATCGTGATCTAAACCAAAAAACCCGTATTAAGAACGATATCATCACTGTGCAATCTCGTCACACGGACCACACACCGCACTCGATCCCAAGAAAAAGGTTATGGAGCATGTTTCACCCTGCAGACGAATGAGCCTTGTTTGAATTCAACCTCTCCGATTAAATTCCTTTGGTAGCTTGTTCGCTCAACGGAGCAGTCAAGCTCAAAGCCACGGGACTGCGCGCACGCACACACCACGTGTGAGAGCTGCCCTCCAGTGGGCGGTGATGGAACTACAGGATACCGATTTAAAATGTCAACACTGCAGGCGACGTTTCAGGCAATAGCCCATCTTCACAGCACACCAGAGTGGTAGTAGAGTGCATTTGGCCTCTCGAACCGGCTCGCAAGAGCATGTGGCATGAGAACACCGCTTTGCCATGTCACCGCCTTGAAGACGAAACCCACCAAACTCCTCGATAAAGACCGCAAAAGCAGACAACCGCGTTGATTTAAAAGATACCCTTTATTTAGTTTTAGTATGTGTACACGTCCAGTCTTTTAACTTCAACATCCTGTACAATCTAGTGTAAAATAAAAAGGCAAAGTGCTATTTGTAATTGTTTTTTCGTATTATTATTTTAAAAACGCCGTGATAATCGTCAGACTCGATTGAGGATGGGGCTGACTGAAGCAATTGGAAAGAACCCTCCCCCCCCCGGAACCACTGTGAGTACAGTCAGGCACATAATGGACACAATTAATGTACAAATACATACACCTATCGGACCTTATTTACAAACGGGGCGTTGAGCGCGTGTGGAAAAGGGAGACTTGTGTGCTGTTCTGTACATGCCAAAAATACTGGAAAGCCATGCCAAACATTTACATTTAGTACACCGTTACAATATTTCACAACACGGCACGGCTCTCAATCTACATCGTGTGCTCTTAAAATCGTTAAAACTCAGAATGCATAATAATAATACGCGACCGCACAATTTAGTGGAAATCGGTGAAAATTAAAACAAAAATATCGCAGTTTATTGTTTTAAGGGGGAACCTCGAGCCAATATTACAGCGCGCTAGAAATGTGTACCTTCCCACAATATAGTACGTTCCAAATATTGCACACGGATGGACTTGTACTGCGGATTGTGCACGAAAGTTCAGTGTTGGGGGAGCAGAGACAGTGAGTGGACCTTCATCACGTGCAGCGTTCACGTGGAGTTGTTGTTACCCAATTACATTGTAAGGTTTACGCTGGCCAACGTTGCTGCACATCTCATCAGTGAAACGGCAGCACGGACAGCATTGGCGGATGCGCGTGGGCTGGAGGAAGTTGGGGTGATGAAAAATAGAGGGTCAAACAGCAAGCTGGACTTTGGATGAAGCATTTGCATAATAAAAATGTAAACAATCTATGCAAAGTAGCACTGCAGGAAAAATGTGCCATGGGGCCCACTGGAGAAAGAAAAATCAGCTCCCAAGCATGCAAATTACACAGAGCGTGCCACCATCACTGTACTCGGTGAGGGACAACAATTATTTTTTTAAATCTCCTTGATCCCATCACTTTACAAATGCTAGGTAGGCCAGAGGAAACACACGCGCAGCCCTTGGCTAATGTAGCATTTACAGCTTTCCAGGTGATAATTATATTCTCATTGTACACTGGTTAAGTGGGCACAATAAATTTGAATCGAACAGATATGAATGTTCCATTGTGCATGATCACGTGTTGCACAAATCCATTTGAGTTGTCGACCCTTCCCGCTGCACCCACAGCTCACGTGCCATGCGTGTTTGGGCAATGATATTTCCAGCTCAATTGACCAATAGCGCTGGAGGGGAGCGGGGCAAGGGGACGTTTGCAATGTGTATAACGGAACGCGGATTATGAAATGTTGGGACTGCAAAAAGAAAAAAATTCTACTCCCATTTGTTGCTTGTATAACAGCTCTAATTCAAAATATAACAATTTCCCTGTAAACATTGTACTACGATAAGTTTTAAATAAAATGTCCTCAACTATTTTCTCACAAAATGCACCATTTGCTCGTCCTGATGTCCCATTACTGGATTTCCAATCCCGAGGTTAGGGTGTGGGTGTTTGTCATTAAAGTTCTATATTGACAGGTAGGCTATGACCCAACGAAATATAATATCCACATCGGTGCCATTCTGCAAGACAGCTTAAATAATTAGTACTGCTGTTCCATTAGATAAACAATCACTTTTGCGTAAATACTACGATTTCATACAACTTCGATTGGTCACCACAACTGCCGAGAGACATACAATTTGTGGATGTGCGCCGGCTTGGGGAAGCAATACATTAGTGGTTAAAACGCTGACCGTGTCATTCGAATTTGAAACAAAAATCATACAGTAGCTTAGTGCCCTCCATTACACGTGTCCGTTGAAGACACGCAGGTGCTCTCTTAAAAGAATCTTCACAGAAGCCTCAGGAGACTGGATACAAGGCCTCGGGGTAGTCGATGCATGGTCAAAGCATTTTCAAGTCTGGACGTCAACCGCCAACAGCCACGAAATTCACAAAAAAATCCAAACGGCTCCAAGGCGGGAGTTCCGATCCGCCACGCTCCACGCGGCGTGACAACTCGCGCGCGAGCGTGCCCACAAGTTGCCGTGGCTTCCCATGCCGGGCCACGGCGCTCGTGCCACGCCGCCGAGCGGCTAAGAGGAGGACTGCGCCAAGGCAGAGCGAGACGGCGCGTCGGCACACAGCAGCAGCGTCCGTGTCACCTCCTGACCGAGACACCCTTGGCACTGCCCGTGGGCGAGCGACCGTGGAATGCTTGTAGGCGCGGCGAGCGAGAGTGCAGGCGGAGGAAGAGCTGGTGCAGCCGATTCTTTGGGTAGAGGCTCTCCAGCAGGCCCTCCAGGCACACGTACAGCAGGCGGCGGTTCAGCTGCCGGTGCTGGAACATCTCAAACACGCGCAGCAGGCCCTTGCGCATGGTCTCAGCGCCCAAGATGTGCTTGAGCTCATCTGCGAGTGAGGAGAATACGTTCAGTAAAATGCGCATGAATTGCGTAGTTTTCCAGCACGCATTTGTTTTTGGAAATATTTCATTAGCGGCATAGGAAGCTGACGGATAGCTGTTAGGAGAAAAAGATGTAACTTTTTGCCTGTTTTATGTCTCCCAAGTTTGAGGCAACGCTTTGATCAATTTGGCCAGTTATAAATATGCCAAGTCCCTTACAGCAACACAACCGTATACAAATGTTTTGCTCATATTGGATTAGCTTTATTAAGGTATTCCCCCGCTGTTACAGAAAGAGGACAGACGGAGAGAGCAAATGTATTAACGCTTTCAACAAACAACATTGAGTAGAGACAGCGGTACTGGCTACCACGTTTTTAGAGCAGACAAATTAACACGTAGAGTTTCAGTGGCACGAGTTCCTTCTGACTGCCA